ACACACACACACACACACACACACACACACACACACACACACGCGCGCGCGCGCGCGCGCAGGGAATTGTCAGTGTTTTCTGTGCTTAAAGCAACAACCAAAGCGTCAATCACAGCTCATTACATTCAAATCATTTTGCTCAATTAGAAATGATTGTGATGCAAAAAATGATCATCTGACCACACCCAGAGTGCTGGCACTAATAAAAGCTACAAAATAGCTTCAATCAGCTTTTTCAAAGAGGCTTATTTATAAAAATTGATGTGTCGGAACTAAAAAATATATTTGATTTCTCAGCMGTGCACACGCTCACAAGTACAAGTCATAAACCTGGTGGTTTTATTAGGGAAATCTTTGAAAACGAAGCTGAAGGTTTTAGGTGAAAGACTTAAGAAGTTTTTGTCTTTTAGAGAGGAAGAATCTTCTGGCTGAGCAGAAAACAAACGAAGGAAGCTGACTGCTGGCCCTCTCCCTGAGCAGAGGGAAGGATACCATAAAAGGAGCAGGTCCACGAGCTCTCTGTCAGAGACAAAGTCATGCACAAGACCTTTTATAGCTTCACGCACTGCTTCTATGCGTCCTCACTGCATCAGTAAATGTTCAAACAATTGCTGTTTGTTAAGGAGTCCAAAGGTTCGGAAAGGGATTTCCCATGATCGTATCGGTTTTCCTCTGCAAGAAAAAGAAGCTCAGCGCTGAGACTTAAGAAAGGAAGGAAGTGTTGTTGATATTGTTCTGGACTGTAAAGAGGGGGTTTTTTATATCATTGTCACTGAAGTAGCTGATGTAATGGGAGTATACATATGTTAATCTAAATGGGWGGGGTTAGAAAATGTCATCTACTGACAGGAAACATACTGTAGTAATTGTAAAATTCTGTGAACAATGTAAATACAATATAATGTTTTGGGTTTTTTCTTTCTTTCACACACAATAAAAGAAAAAAAGAGTGTTTTGTTTCTACAAACAAGACACTAAAACACAAAAATTAAATGATACAGAACCACTAAAAATGTAAATACATTTCTGGATAAAAACAAAAAAATTGTGAGTGTCAAGGTTATACAGTGATATACACTTTCCCAGTCCTTTTTTCCCTTTTCTTGGCCAAAACTGCTGATGACCAGTATCTTTTATCGTCTCATTAGGGTTGGTTTTTTATCATTGTTAACATTTTTCTTTGGTACAGTGTTTACTGCTTTTAGATGAATATAGACAGCTTTAAAATTATAGTTTCATAATTACATATATTAAATGATTTAGCAAAATTGTATTTATTTCATTGAGGGAAAACAGCCTATAAAAAACAGATTTGCTATTTATTCTATTTTTATAAAAAAAAAAAAAA